TACTGATATTAATTCAATATGATATGTATATTGAAGTAAAACAAACTCTTACATCAATAGTAAATTCCAGTTTTGGTAATACTGCAACCCCCCATTCCTGATGGGATTGGAGGCCAGAATGGCGAGGCTTGCCCAGGAGCCCACGGCCCAGGCACCTCCAGCCAAAACCAAGCTCCTACTTCAGGAGCCACTTCGATGGTCATACACCAAGTGGGGAAACAAGGTTAAGATTCCGAAAATGCCAGCATAGGTGTGCACGGGCGGGTGAAAAAGTTTTCAGCAAAACCGATTGAGAGCAGTTGCATGGCGTGCTTGCTTGAGCAAGGAGGGAGCGAAACCACCCAGTAAACGCAGTAGGCCGTGACGCCAAAATGCCGGATGCACCTCGTAGAAGAGGTGATAATTCCTTTCCCCCTCTTGTTGGTCACAGACACGCACCTGCTCAAGTCAATCGTCGGAAGGGAAGAAGGGAAGAGAGCCCTCAGAGAGCCGTCCTTCTCCAGGAGGTAAGTCTGGATCCGGGCGCCACAGAGGCGACAGTTTTCGCCAGCCACGCCCAGAGCTGATGCATCCTCAGCAGCTGCGGCAGCTGGGAGATTCTGGCGCATCGAATGGGCTCCACACTTGGCCAGAGCTTCGAAACTGCAACTCGATGAACCTGGTGGACAAAGCGTACAGGGGAGGCGGCCCAGGACAAGGACAACACGATGACCGAAGGCTGCAACTTTCCGAAGCGACTGGAGTTGTCATTCCTGGCACATGCAATTGCCCAAGAGAGGACTCTTCTGAGCAGCAATGAGCAGCCTCAAGGTACGGGCGTTGCCAAAGGCTTCGAGCAAGGGATTCGACTCCAAGACTTGCTTCTCCACCTTAGAAGCAAAAGGAAGGTGGCAGCACCGCATCGCAGCTCCCGCATCTCGCGCGGATCTCGGGCAGATCCGGCATCGCAGCTCCGAGCGGCACTGGTGACTTCGCCGTCCGCGGCCCCCGCCATAGCCAGGAACTTCCTCACCGAGCGGAGAAAGAAGCGACCCCCACAAGGCCGGCGGGCGCGGAGTTCCGGGGGGTTTGCTGCCCCCAGATGAGAAGTTTTTACCGGCAGGGTGCGTCCGCTCTGCCGAGGCTCATGACGAACTTCGTGGTCTCCGTCTTTCCAGCTCCAGACTCCCCGCTGATCAGCACCGTCCTTGCGGCTCTGCAGCTCTGCAGCTCTGCCCTCCTCGGTCGTTTAAACTTTCTCGGGCCGTGACTGGCTCTTGCGACGATCGCAGATGCCGCGGTAAGTGGCGTTGGAGGTGTTGAAGACGTGCCTCGAGCAGAGGCTCCCAGCTCCCAGCATTTCGCACCACGCAGGGCAAAGGTCCGGACGGCTTGCTGGAGGGCTTCGTGGTCATGAAGCTTTTCAGGACCTGACACGGGCGTGCGCAACCGAGTGGGCGAGTCGCAAGTCTCCGCCTCCTCATCGTAGAGACCGCGAATGCCCTTGAAGGGATTCAGCCTTCGTTTCTCTGAGGGCTTCGATCGTGTCGTGCTGCAGTCCTGGAAGTCCTGGGGCCCGGGCGCGATGAGGATGGGGCCCGTGAAGGTGTAGATCTTGTCGATGTCGAAGCGATTTTGTAGGGAGCTGAGTACCTGTGAATCCAGGTATACGGCTTAAAAAGAAGGCTTCAGGCTTCAGCTTCAGCGCTTCGGCGGGGGCACTGCCGGCTCGTGCAGGTGCGTCAGCTGACACCTGCTCGGACTGTGGACTCTTTGGCAGACCTAAAGAGAGCCATGAAGCCCAAGCCCAGCAGTTCAAGCTCGTCTGCAGCACAGGTCGTCCAGCACGGACAAACCCTCGGAAGTGAAGACATCTGAAGTCCTGTCTGGGCGCGGTAATCCATGCTCGTGTGTTCTTCCCGGTGCAGAGCTCCTGAGGAAGATGGGCTCGTGAGGCCCCAAGACGATCCTGCTATTCGGGTCTTCTGCCGTCTTCACCTCAGACTCAGCAAACGGCAAAAGAACGAAGAGAATCCAGCTTGCTGAGAGTGGCGATGATCTCCTTCTCGTTGGCCGTGACGATCTCCGCCTGGATCCAGACCTCGCCGTTACCGCAGAGTCGCAGAGCGTCAGAGCGTCAGAGTCTCGGCGAGTCTCCGCCGGCTGCCCGCTTAGTGCGCCTCCTCCTCGTGCTTGATCCAGATCAGCGTGCCCTTGAAGGCGAACCGCCGAAGCGGAAGAACAAACCAAACCAAACCGCACGCACTGCCGACTGCGCCCCACTCTTCAAGCCCTTCGTGCTCGGCCTGTGCATAGGTTTGGCTTTGCATGAGTCCAGTCGGAGGACCTCAGTAGCGACTCCACAGGCAAGTTAGCAACGCGCAGAGTCACGCACACACGCACGTGTGGGGCGCCAGCGCAGGGGAGGGGAGGCGGAGGGGAGGGGAGCGGGGGCGGAGCTAAGCGCTCGCTGTAAATCAGCTTGCTTCTGGGATGCTTCTCAAGGTCCAGAAGAAGTGAGGCTCTTCTTTGAGTGCTGATGCCCCGAGGGGGACGGAGCTTCTAGAATCGCGTCTGACTCCGCTACTGGCCACGACCGGAAACTAACGCTTGAGCAAACCGACCCGGGCACAGTTCCACAGACCTCGAGTCTCGAGCCCTCTCACATCGGCACTGGAATTGTGGCACCTTACGTTTACGTTGGCTGCCCCCTGGCGCTGAGAACGACAGCATTCGGCATGGCCACCTGCAGCAACAGCGACCGCCGTGAGCAGAGCCAAGTGACTCGTGCCTTGTTCTTGGCGAGCCATTTGGGTGCCTCTGACAAGATTGACTCTACCGTGACTCAATGAAGCGCTTTTGCAGTGCTCTTTGCAGTACCTGCGCATAGTCGTAATCCATTCGGGGGGTTGTTCGAAGCTCGTCCACTACCTGCTCACTGAATCCAGTCGAGAACCAAGGAGCAGCACAGTATGTGCCTCCTTCTCGTGGCACGGCCGCATGATGCATAGGGACCTACCAGCAGCCATGCTCACCAAGTGACACAAAGTCTGCTGCGCCCTCATGAGACAGATGCAAAAAATGCGGACTTGGTGCCATGCCAATCAAGCAGGCCAGCTCTGCGTTCAAACCTGGCGAGCTGGAGCTCGCGACACTCTCAGACTCCAAGGGTGTCTCTTCCTCGCGGCTACCAGGGCAGGGGTTTGAGGTCACCTCTGTTTTTGTGAGGCTCTCCATTCATCAGGCTATTCCATCTCAACTGGTCATGGAGGTGGCGTTCCCTCCCGCAATGCCTTCCTCAGCTAACTGACCGTAAACTCCACTTCACTTGGTAAAGGAAGATCCAAATCAAAGATAACGATGTTTCAGATATTTTGTGCCATTACATACCTACGTATATTCATACATACATACATGCATGCATACATCGTCTGCTTGGATTTAGCTAATCAGGGCTTGAATCAGACCAAGTAATGCACTGCAAACTGAATTATTCTGAAATAAACACAGAAAACAAAAAAAGTCTTGGACGGAAGTCTAAGTTTAATCTGTTCGTTGCCGCTGAATTCGACACCGCACTTTGGCTACTTACGTGGCTTGGTGTCTCTCTCTGACCTCCGCGGCGTGTCGGTCGAAGCACGACTCCTCGGAAGCCCAAGCACAAAGCGCCAACCGCTGCCTTTAAACACAGCGCTCCGATGCAATGAAAATGCGCAACCCACAGAAACCCCCGCATCTGTTGTCAAAAGGTTTTCTACTTTGTGACTTGTCGAATCTCGCCGCATACATCGGTAACCAGGCTGTTTTGCCATGGTGACGTCCACCACTAACCAGCAGCAAACGTTTCCATGCTTGGCCAACAGAGGACAGCACGATGCTCACGCTGCGTGGGATGCTCAACGAATCATCCTCTTGCGCTGCAGGATGCTCTGGGAAACGGACGTCGGTTTGGCCACGCTCTGGAAAACGACAGCATCATCACGTTGGACATGACTGCTCTGGTCACTGGGACGTCATTATGGCCTGGGCATGCCCAGGCCAAGGGATGAAGCAGGGGCAGCACCGTAAAATACCGACAATATTTCCGGCACAGAACTCAAAGTGAGGGAAATGCCGGCAGCACACATGATTTCGGCAGGTGCGAGCAGGCGGAAATACGCGGTGCGCAAAGTGTTGCGAGGGCCATGCGAGCACGATAGCTGCCAAGCCCTTTCGGCAAGTTGCGATTTCGTTTCTTTCACGGCGAGAAGAACAACACTGAAGTGGGCAGCTGAGATTCAGGGTGGCCAAAGCATCACCACGCTCCGTGGCCATCTTGGCAGCGAGCGATTGACTTTCTTCACTCCTGCAACGAAAATGCATTTTGCCGACTGCCTGCATTGAGCTCTGCATTGAGCTGATCAAACCCCGCGCTCCATCCCTCCGGGCTCTTGCTCAGCTCGGTGCGCCGACGGCGAAGGGCCTCTCGCTCTCACAGCTCAGCTCACTGGTGCTCGTAGTGCTCGTTGCGCCTGGATGTATGGATTTTCCAGGATGGCATCGCCTGAACACATCGGCGACGCGGGCAGGAAGAGCTACATGATGAGGCGTGTGTTGTGTAGCAGTGTGGCATGTTGTTCAAGCCCCTTCAATGAGGTTCCGCGCCCGCCCAGCAAAAATTTGGGCCTGAGCTGCCCGTGCTCGCCAGCTCGGCCTCGTGCTGGCTCCGAACATCTCCAAACCCAAACTTCCCCCCAAAACTTCCCCCCTTTGGCCCCTTTCCCCTCTCCTTGCCGGGGGATCCCCCGAACTTCTTCTTCAGCCTCGGCTCTCTCGGCTCGCTCGGCCGCCAGCTCTGTCGGCCCGGGGGCCCCCGCCGTCCGGCCAGATCCACAAAGTCGATCTCGCTGAAGAAGCTTTCGAGAGGATCCTGGTTGCGTTGGCGACTGCCTCTCTTTTGCGTCGATGATCACACCATGGCTCCGGCGAATAGTCAGTGGGCATGAGGATCTTCATGAAAGTGACGACGGCGCGATGGGATGCGATGCAATGGCGGGGGCGGGGGCGACGATAGTGCTGATAAGACTGATCCCGCAGCTGTCATTGGAGTCCCCATTCAAGAGACTGGATTTATGGCTGATGTTTGCAGTGTTTGCAGCCAGGGTGCCGACAAAAAAAACCGTCATGTCCGCTGGCAAACAACCGCTTGCACAACCATGCATCGTTTCATCACACCAAGTATGCTGAAACAACACACATGCACACACATCGCATTGGTGCGGCTGTTGCTTTCTTCTTGTGTTGTGGTGGCTACCGTCCATCGCATTTCCAGTAATCACACGCAAAGTTACTGCAGGGTTTGGTCGGACGAATCCGTTGCCCTAAGCCTAGAATCCGCAAACTCCTGAAGTTTCGTAGAAGCGGGGCACTCTTCCTTTTTGTGGGACCTGGCCAAGCTACTAGTGGGCCTCGGGTGTGGTACCATTTCAACCAAAATAAGCCCTTCAAAACGTGACCTCGAGTTTCTTGAAGGACATCCGATCCTCGTCGGGGGTTTCTTCTGGAGCTTCTCGCCGGAGCACGCTGAAGACAATCGGAAAGCCCTCAGATCTGCCAAGCACAGAGGGAGAACACGACAGCTTCCCTGTCGCTGCCTGGACCTGTGCGGCTAGGAATTGCTCCAAGAACTCGTCGAAGGCTGCCACACGCTTCCCGTTGATTTCCACGATCTGATCACCGACAAACCTCAGGTAGCAGCTCACGAAGGAAAGAACATATTCTCAGGAAGTATGTTGCAAAGAACAAGCTTCGAGAAGTTACAAGGGATGTCACCACGTACACTACATCCGCACGAAGAACACACCACCCGTTCCGCCATCTGGAGCCCCTCCCTGGCTGGCCGGAGCTTGCCGGAGCTTGCCGGCAGCTGGGGACTGGACCAGCCGTGCGAGGCCGCCTCCTCGCTGCAGAAGCCAACCACGGAGGTGCCGTGCAACAGAAGGCCCAAGGTGCCGTCCTCGAGAAAACTGGAGTGAACGCTAAACCCTACCCTCGCCCTAGTCGCCCTCGCCTGCAGCAAGGCCTCCACCCGGACATGCCGGAGACGGAAGCACTCGCCTCCAGGTCCAACACTCCCGCTCCCACCGCGCCCACCGCGCCCACCGCGCCCACGCCCGTCCTACCTGACTGCATGGGACTCGGTGGGTGAAGCTCCTGATCCTGCACGCAGGGATGGCGCCTGCAGGCCCAGGCCCCCAGTCCAGTCCCTTCTTGGCTCCTCGGGCAGCGATGGCATCAGCCTGCCCTGCAGAGCGAAAGCGGAGCGAAGCGGAGCGAACTGCGGAGCCTATACTTTTTTCACGGTACGGCTCCCAAGCCCGGGGGCCAAAAGACAGCCGCGGCCTTGTTCCTCGAGAGCTTCCCGGGTCCTGCACAGACGACGCGCCCTAGGTGCTCCGGTGCTCCGGTGCTCCGGTGCTCCTGCAGGAACCCGGTTCGGGACGGGCTGCGGAGATGGAAGCGAGCTTTCATCCTCCTGAGAAGCGACCGAGCGCAGCGAAGACCATGCCAACGAACACTCAAAACCCCCAAATGCCACCTCCGGGCGCTTCGGCGGTGCCGGCATGTCTCAGCGATGGTCCCTGCGCACTGACAGCGGCGATAGAGAGTACTCTACCTGAAATGCGGACCTCTGCTCGGTCACACCTGGCGGGAAACCAATACTCTTGCGCTTCTCTACATCGCGAGATCACAAAGTCAAACACCCCCGCCTCTCAGGAACAGTTCATCCCGCCGAGGAACCATTGCTGTGGACGGTGTGTTGACGCTTTGGTCGTCGGGTGTTTGAAACATCTGCGACTATTCAAGCGCGATCTGTCCAGTCAACATTCTAGTCCAGTCATACCCCTGCGACGAGCCGGGGTTGTCATGACAGCCGAGCACGTGCAACAACGCATCGTTAAGCACTCGGCTGCGGGCGAATGACGCATTGTGCAGTCCGCGTATGCAGCACGACACCGCCGGCTGGCCGCTATGAGGTAAAGAGGTTGCGCCACCTCGAGGTGGCGGTTCTTGGATCAGCTGCATCACACGCCTGAGTCCTGCATGTCCCCATTTTGCGGTGCTCGGCGGAGGCTCGGCGGAGGCCCCTTTCAGGCGCGCGCGGGGGCTGCTCGGAAAGAGAGAGCCTTTCTTCAAAAGCGGTATCGAAATCTGCGCCCCTTTTCCTTTGTACAAAGCTTTCGCCTCTCGCAGAGCCCTGAAGGATTCTCTGCACAGGGTATTCCAGTCATGCACAGCCTCAACGAGACCCGGATTCGGGTGAGGAACATGCAAGTTTGCTGCTCCCAATTCGAACTGTTTCTTCTTGGCTTGGGCATGTGCTCAAAGCCACCGAAGAAAGAGCGTGCAGGGCCATGCGAAGCCGCAGTGCCACCTTTGCCTTTGCCATCCCGAGCTTGCGTGGAGTTTTATTACATTCGAATACCAGGCTTGCAATGCCTTGCCGGACTTGCACGCAGGAAAATGCCAGGCGATGCACACTTGGCCCGTCGCCTTCCTATCCTAACCTACAGACTACCAGACTCGCAGTCTCTCAGCCGATAGACCTCCCAGCGCACATCTTTTCTGATGCGAAGCCAAGCCGGGCTGCACGCCTTGCCCGCATGTGCCGGAGCTTCTTGTCGGCATCCTGAAGACACTGTCTTGAACGCCATGAGACGGAGACAGAGACGTGACTCCTCTAGGAGGCGCTTCGAAGGTCGCGCGGGTCGAACCTCCAATCGCGGAGAAGAAAGCGACGAGATCTCTTCAACAGATTGGCGACTCGCCGTCACAGGCAGTCGCAGGTCTGTGAAGGATTCGCAGGTCACCCTTCACCCTGGCTCGGCACGTGGCAGCCGTCACCGGCGCTACAGTAATCACGCCTGGCGAGTCCACCTGCCAAGAACTTCAGCTTTCCAGACGAAGTGGAAGCCTCAATGGGCTTCCGACATCACAAACCACGTTGACGATATCTCCTTCCACCTCGATTTGCACTCTCGGAACTCTCCGGAACTCTTGAGGAAGCAGATTGCCTAGGCTCAGACAGACTGCAGGGTGCCCGTGAACCAATGCCCCTGCCGCGTGATAGCCGCAGCAACACCGTCATCACATTCTCTCCCAAGAAACATGAAGCCCCAGCAGAACTCAGCGTTGCTCATTGGAACTCCAACACTGGATGATTTCTTGTTCGCGTACAGTAGCTACGTCGTAGTCAACGATGATTCACTTTTGTAGGTTTGCACAGTAGCTAAAGCTCATCTAAACACTCTCTTGATGCCTGATTAATATTCTGTTTCCGACTCACACTATGTAAGTCTCACAAACAGACATCTGCAAGTAGTAAGTCTATACCCGTCGAACATGTGATGCTGACAGACAACTTAAGCAATGCTTACTACTATAGCCTCAGCTGTGTCTGATGAAGGGATTGTTCAGTAGTTCTTGATAGTAACACGCAAATGACAAAGCAACATGGCTGGCTGCTCACGAAATGCTATAGTTATTGAAAGATAAGCAGTATCTCTTTATGTAACCATTTCATATTCAAAACATTTCATTGAAATATACACAAGAAAATTTCGTAATGTTCCAGTTATGCATATGACATTTCCTGGCTTAGTCGCTAGCGCATACTTTGTGCGCATGTGCGCGCTTTTTGTTGCTATCATCTTCTTCTGAAAGACAGAAAGAAAGAAGCCGTAGTGACTACCGAAGACAGAATTAGCGTGGTTGGTTTTCTGTCTCTTTTGTACTACTGCACCGACTAGCTATTCCAGTACAAAACAATATTAAATTGCAGAAATAGTTTCTGAATACTGGCTTGGTGTGGCTTGAGCAGTAAGGCAGAACAATTTGAAACATTCAGCAACAAACATTTAGCTGATAGTAACTGTGAACAGCACATGTATCGCAAACACTGCTTGAAGGTGAAGATGACACTGTAGGAAGTGGATGAGACATGGGCCTTTCACGAGCAGTACGAGGAAACATATCGCCCATGCGCCTGAGGTGCGGCAGATACATCGGGGGCATGTTGAGACTCCAAATGGCAAACGAATCCCTGAAGTGGCCTTTGCAATGTTTGGCTCGGCGATTGTAGCATATAGGCATAGTATAGAGATACAGGTATACAGAGATGGAGATATGTTGCGATACAGATAAACAGATATATAGGCATATAGAACTATGGATGGATATGTATAGGTATAAATAAATAGCGGTGCAGATTTAGAGATAAAGAGATATAGAGACACATAGAGATATGTAGAGATATAGAGATATAGAGAGATAAAGATAATCAAAGAGGTATAGAGAGATAGGGTATAGGGAGATCAGAGGTAAGGAAATGTAGAGATATACAGAAATAGAGATACAAAGATACAGACATATACAGATAGAGAGATATAGAGATACAAAGATGCAGAAATAGAAAGATATAGAGATGTAGAGATTTCTTGCGATATAGAGGTATAGAGATACAGAGATAAAAAGGCATAATGGCATAGAGATTCAATATGGGCATGGATCCGGACTGGCTATAGATATAGATGTAGATCGAGATAGAGATCTGAGAATCTGAGATAGAGATCTGAGATAGAGATCTGAGATAGAGAGCGAGAGAGAAAGGGCTTGCAACAAACGAAGAGCCAGAAGCGGCAGCAACCACCAATACGACGACTGAAGCACTGACAAGCGCACTCATCATCGGTCACCAAGAACAGGACGGCTGAGGACACAATCAAGAAGTTGGGCGCCAAACACTGGGAATCTGCAAGCAGGCAGCTGCCGGCGACCCGAAGATTCTCGCTTGCGACCCAAACGCCAATGTGCCAAGACGACTTGCAACGGCCAGTGTGAGACGAGTAACGGTCTACGACGTCTACGACAATTCCGCAGAACCGTCGAGAAGCAAAGGAGTGGAGATCGACAAAGCCGCAGTCTAAAGGCACCGCCATCACGGAGTTTCGCTTTTGAAGGTCAGAACGCTGGACCTATGGATCCTATGGCCATGGGACCAACAATGCAGGGGCGAAAGTCTTCACCCTTCAAGCTCTGGAGGACCTCAGCGGGCTTTCAAGTCCCATGAAAAGTCTTGGCCGAAGCACATCAGCGGCGGGGCATGTTGCTTCTTCAGGAACAGATACTGCACGAGTGGGGCGCATTTTAAGCGTGACAATCGTGACCACACATGATGGCACAAGACCTTGCGACCGCCGTAAGTTCCCGTGGTGTCGGCTCGAGCTACGTGATCTCACCAAAGACTGCAGCTGTCTCACTTAAGGTAGTTTTGCATAGATGCATGCTTTAAACCCAAGCGCTCGTAACAAAATCGAGGAAGCCACCTCGGGGACTCAGTCCGGAGTGCTGAAACGCACACGTTTGTCTGTCGCCAAGCAATCACAATCTGAAATCCACGGCTTCGGCTGTGGCCTGCAGGCCTAGCACATGCCCCGCCGCTGATTCACCATGCCTCGCGCCTCGTACTCCACCTCTACACGGTCCCCCGTGGAGATGTTTGTCCTGCACGTTAAGTGCGCAGAACTGTGCCGAGGCTGTTTCCGCCCAGAAGCCTGAGCCCCTCACGTTGCGCTTTCGTTTAAACGTCTGGAAAAGTGGCTCTCCGGATCAAAGATTTTCGGTGCCTCTGACTGCCTCGAAGCGACTCAAAACAGATGCGACAGCCGCTCTGTTGGAAACTGGACCCACGCGTAAAGTCGACGGCGGGCCACTTCGCCACGACGACTGCCTCGAAAAGTGTTGGGCGATGCTAGTAGCACTTTCTGGCGAAGTCCGTCGACCCGCTGATCCGCCTGGGAGGTAGACCGATGGACGAGGAAGATTGCCGGCTCGGGAAGAGGCGCTGATGGGCAAGCTCCGCCGGCTCCGCTTCCGCTCGCCGAGACCACCTCTGAGAAACCATCTCCCTCAAAATCCTGCACAGACTCTTTCGCCTGCCTCGGCACCCATGATCTCCCAAGTGCTAGCCAGGCGCTGCAGCACTGCTTCTTCCATTCGTCCTGCACGCGAGACATCATTACGGGAGTAGCATAACCAAATAGATTCCGTACCTCGCTTCCGGGCATCGGTCAAGAGGCCCGCGATCTCCGCCTTAAGCAAAACCATCGTCGACACAGTTAGTCAAATTACACGTTGGCCACACCTGCAGCTCCATCGGGACAGAGAGCTTCAGTGGTGAGTCACCCATCTGCCACGTGACCTGATTCGTTTCTTCGTTACACGGGGCCTTTGATGGGAAATCGGGTGTCCGGCCATGCGATGCAACATCACTCTGCGACCGCCCACCTGCACCTCCCCCTGACACGAATGGAAACGCGCTTACTCACACGAGATCATACTAGCATACCAAACATGCATACTTAGAAGAGGCTAACTGGCCAGAAGCTGTCAGTATCTTCCGTAAACACATCATGATATCTGATATTTCCCAACCCACAGAATCCAGAATGCTGGCGTCTTCATTGGCAATGAGGGACAAATTCTGTCACTTCCCCACACACGCTACCGGTCAAGTCGGTAGACATCGCTTGGGGCCCTTAAATTGCGAAAAGCGGAGGACTTAACTGTCGGTCCCAAAGCATAGGGAGCAGTGTATCGTAGAACAAGGCATCGGCAAAGGCAAAGCAAGGCGTTGAGTGAGATCGTATCAGAGTATGATACCGTTAGGTAAAGCGTGCAAGAAAGCACAATGAAGGACAAACCTTTTTGTCCAGCGACGCTACCTGAGCTGTACCCGAAAAGCAGTTTTGAGCACTCAAGCTGGGATGTGAAACAAAATTGTTCAGGCAAGTCATACACCACACAAGAAAGGTTTAGCTCGAGAGCGTGACGGGAAGCAAAACGGGATTACGTGTAACAGCTAAGTCAAATGTGTACAGCACACGAAAGCTTCTCTGGGAAGCACTCTCTTGTTTTGGCTTGCGGAAACGCGACTGCTGTACCTCCGTCTCGAAACCCCAGTCGGGTCTTCGATCTCTGCCGGGTTGTAATGCTGATTTCGCTGAGCAGTCGCAAAAGCCCGGGCAAGAAACTGGCAAGTTGAAACCTCGCTCCCGCCGGAGCAGGAAAGTGAGGTGAAGGTCGCAACGTTCAAAGGCACCTAGTTGAGGCCTTGTATGGCTCTACCGGAAAGCAGGGCTCAATCCGAGAGCTGTTCACCTTCTGTGTGACGAACCTCCATTTGAGGGTCTGAGTTGGTGTGGCTTTGGGGGCTGCAGCAACAGAGAAGCATCTGGCGGAAAGAGTGAGATTGAAAAGTGACCGTTCCAAACGAAAGCTGTACTTTGTCACTCGCGAGGAAATGCCTTGCGAGTGCCGAAGTGCCGCCCCAGCGAAACAAAAGGTCGTCATCATCGGTCTTTTCGCCGGCATTGTGACTGCAATCCAAGCTGATGCCAGCTACAGAGAAGAATAAGTGTGATTTTCGATGTGTAAGGCTCGTTACAAACTAACCGACTTAACTCCACTGTTATCACTACGTGCAGGCGAAATAAGCGCCAAGCGGCAACTGCCTGAAGTCTTCCAAAAGCAAATCAGAACAAAGCGTTGAGCCAAAAGTCTCGTAGTTGGATGTATCCAAGTTGGCATCCGACAGGGAGGCCCAAAGCGGTGAAGTCGCTCACCGTGTATCTGTGAGAGAACCAAACCATGCTGCCTGATGCCAGCTCCAAGCACCCGTCCACGCCACACTCGCTGCCTTTGCCAAACGCATCGGTCGCTGACGTCACCTGTTCGAGTGCGGGCGGTCGAAGCGGGCGAGGGCACCACTCAGCGGACTGCAAGTAAGGGAAGAACACTAAGGTTTCGCGGCCAGAAGATACCTCAGCCAAATCGTCCTTGCAAGTGAGCTCCACGTGCCGCAAAGTGAAGCCCGGCTGGACTGCCGTGCACGGGGGTGCTTAAAATGAAGATCGCTCAAGTGGGCGTCGACGCCTGGCCAGAGAGTCGGGCTGATGCTCACATTGGTGCCAAGAGGGTGCTGCATGTCGTCATGGACGGTGCAAGCCAGGGTCGCAAGGCTGGAAGCCATGAAGAAGCCACTGAAGCAGGCCAAGCAGCTTGTCAAGTTGCTTGCACGACACCAGGCGACTCTGCAGGCATTCCTGTACTAGCGACTGTAGCTTAAAGCGTGAAATAGGAAGCACCCAAGTTAAGCTGCCAGCCTATCCATGCCACCACTGGTCCAATCTGCAGCTTTTTCCAACTAAGCGGATGTGTACTGGTTCATGTCGTCGAGCGACCCACCAAGAGCCTAAAAAGCTAAAACAGCTCACCCGATCTGAGCGGCTCACCTTAACGAGGAGGCTACTCTTGATAGCCTTATCACCGGCGCTGTCTGAAAGATGGGAGAGCACTGCGCTAAAGCGGCCGCGCAAGTGGCATAGCTCCTGGAATAAAACGGAATTCCTCACGTTGACCGCTGAACGGACGTCCACGGACGCGTGAAGCCAGGCTCAAGCTGCACGCGAAGATGTTGTCAAAGCGCCTGCTGTTGAATGTATGCACCTGAAGTGGGCGGGTTTGGGGGCGCACACGGAAACCCCAATCGCCGACGCACTCTCCTGGTATCTGGTATTCTGTGACATCCATGTTGCACTGGCTGGCGCTTCGGAACCCGAAGTGGAGGCTCCTTGGCAGCGGGTGCACATGATGTTTCCCTGCGCAAGCGAGAGGAAGGGGGGAGTTGCATCGCAAGCACACCCGCAAGCTTGGCACAGATCCCGAAAGCAACAGCAAGAAGCTAGACGTACTCCCCGAATCCTTAGAACCGGCCGAACCCACCTCATTGTTCGGCGTCGTCGACCAGCTGCCACGAAGCTGCATCAAGCGAAGAAACTGGAAATTCTTCGTGGGAAACAGGGGACTGTAGTTGCTTGTCGCTGCCAGCGTCTACGAAGCTTGCTGCTGGGCCCATCCTCGGAGGCTGGCACCTCGACTGCGTGCAAAGCTGCAGGCTGATTCGAGGGTGCCGCGTGCGTTGTGTCCAACAGCTCATCAGAAACAATATCTGAGTCAATCTGAGAAAAAGCCACCAAAGCCAGCTGGTCTCTGACAGTCTCTCTTGTCCAACGAGCGCACCCGAATGGAAAGCTGCTGAGCTGCCTGGTCTAAAACAATGACCCTGATCTGCTAAATGCACCAGCCAGCCTCTGCCCTGCGTGACCTCGTCTCCAAGCCCCCGATAAACGGGAGATCTCCACCCGCTGGGCAGAGCACTCGGCAAAGCCGCTCACAGAGCTCACGAACGCGGGCAAAAAAGGAAGCTTCTGCCAATCGCAAGTCAAAGATTCGCCCTTCCCTGTCAAGTTTCGACAGCACCGCATGAAGCTGAGGCGGATGCACAAGCTCGTCTTCCATGCAAAGCAGGTGGCACTAGGCTTGCTTAGCTTAGAGCTGCTGTAAAGTAGTCCTGACAACTGAAGCATGCGACACAAGCGCAAAGACTGAAGAGAAGCTGCTAACCAAAGCTGAAAAGTTTCAAGCAAAAGCGTAAGCTGCTGTTGCGTGGTATGCTTGCTTGAACCCAAGCGGGGGGCGACAGGTAAGACCACTCACCAAAACAACCCTGAGAACACAGGAACCGGTAAGACACGTACGAGTAGCAGACTGACAGGCGTACATCTACAGCGGTGGCTGACAAATCACACCCGCCTCGACGAGAAGCGATTGCATGAGAGGGCGGAGTTGAAGAGTGTCAAGCGATCTCTGAATGTACATCGGTCCACATCGTTTGCAAGCCTTGAAAAGATTAAAGCAACGAAACAAGAGACTAGGATCGATTCCTGTCGTCTGATCTTACCATCATCGCTGGGGTCATTTGCTGCTGCATAGGTGGTTGTCTGGAGTGTGGGGCCCAGTAGCTGTGGCTGTGCAGGTTGGTACAGCATGTGATGGGCCGGCATGTGAAAACTGATGTGGCTGTGCCATCTTGGGCCACCGAAGTGTGTGGGTGAAACGGAAACATGGCGGGATCCTTGCAATAGGATTGCCCGAGTCGTGCGAAAACTGTTGCTTGCGCAGATACAGCTTCAGCTAGATCTAGAACATCCGGTCATTGCGCGACTTCCAGAAAGCGCTAGCAGTTACGTTACCCTAATGCAATTAGACCTCATGTCAGTGCATACGCCGCCCTGTGCAAAGGCAGAAGAGAGAAGAGTAAATTCTGGAGTGTATGTCGGCGTGGAGGCCGGCGTTTCTCGAGCAAACCAGCCGTTTTTACCTGTGTTTTACGCTATTTTAGCCTTCGACATACAACCTGGAATTTGACATGTAGACTGCTGAACTATATTTCGACACCGACAAAACTGAATTTGAATGGGCACTAGCACCCAACAGCAGATCATGGAATTTATTTCTTGTCGAGCCTCACGAGTACGACTATTAGTATAGATAGGTATTGGAACATAGCCAGCAAAATATTAATTAGATAGATGATGAGCCAAATAAACTTAATCAATTAAGAAGGCAGGGGGCTTCAACATCAAGACATGAATTTGGATTGCTATGGAGTTCCAATATCATTAAGTACAGGAGGTATTGACCCATGAAAATGCAACTTGATTTTAGCAAGGTATCGAGTGGGTATTGAACCACAAGAACAAAAAATCGAAATTGAATGGGTATCGGCCCATAACGTGCAACTGAATTTTGATACGTATCGGAAGGCAACAAAAAACAAAATAAATTTGGATGGGTATTGACCCACCAGAACAACAAACTGAATTTACATGCATATTGGCCCGCAACAGCGAACTGAACTCGGATGGCTATCGGCCCAGTACAACATCAACAACAGCAAGAATTTGACTGGCTATTGACCCGCGGCTTTCAGATGCTCAAATAGTTGCTGTTGGATAAAGAAGACTGTGTTTGGATTAGTATGGACCCAGAGAATTTGGTATGCATGAACCCAAGCTGCATGAGTGTGTGTATGTGCTTGTTTACGTACATTTGTGTAAATATATGTAAATACCATCACTGTCTTAAATATGCTTCGTTTTTTACATCTAAAAACCAGAATCTTAAACTCAGACTCAATATGTATCATGGGCAACCGGTTGAGAAGAAAGATGTTGATGTGCAGACTGCCAGACGGATGTTTAAGTGTTTGCGGTTTGCCAGCCATCATCTCCTCTCGAAGAGGCGTACGAGTCAATATTTTTTTGGGGTTCGGGGATGGTTTGGGCATCATGCAGCCCTATCAAAAGCTATCCGTGGCATCCGTTTATTTCAGCAGTTTGGATGTCGCACTCATCATCTCATATGTGGAATGGGCATTATCACCCAACAGCAGATCTTGAATGGGCATTAGCACCCAACATCAGATCATGGAATTTATTTCTTGTCGAGCCTCACGAATACGAATAGTAACATAGATGGGTATTGGCACACAGCCAACAAAACACAAATTAGATAGATGACGAGCCAAACAAACTTAATCAATTAAGAAGGCTGTTGACCTCAACATCAAGACATGAATTTGGATGGGTATCGAGTTCCGATATCACTAAGTACAGGAAGTATTGACCCATGAAAATGCAACTTGATTTTAGCACGGTATCGGGTGGGTATTGAACCACATGAACGAAAAATCGAAATTGAATGGGTATCGGCCCATAACGTGCAACTGAATTTTGATACGTATCGGAAGGCAACAAAAAACAAAATAAATTTGGATGGGTATTGACCCACGAGAGCAACAAACTGAATTTACATGCATATTGGCCCGCAACAGCGAACTGAACTCGGATGGCTATCGGCCCAGTACAACATCAACAACAGCTATAATTTGACTTGCTATTGACCCGCGGCATTCAAATGCTCAAATTGTTGCTTTTGGTTATATAAGACTGTGTTTGGATTAGTATGGACCCAGAAAATTTGGTATGCATGAACCCAAGCTGCTTGAGTGTGCGTATGTGCTTGTTTACGTACATTTGTGTAAATATATGTAAACACCATCACTGTCTTACATATGCTTCGTTTTTTACATCTAAAAACCAGAATCTTAAACTCAGACTCAATATGTATCATGGGCAACCGGTTGAGAAGTCACGAACAAAGATGTTGATGTGCAGACTGCCACACGGTTGTTTAAGCATGTGCGAAGTCATTAGTGTCGTGTGGTTTATAAAGCTTTGAGGATCCAGCCATTATTCATAGTGTTTGGGGTTTGCCAGCCATCCTTCCTCTCGAAGAGGCTGGTATCGAGTTCCGATATCACTAAGTACAGGAAGTATTGATCCATGAAAATGCAACTTGATTTTAGCACGGTATCGGGTGGGTATTGAACCACAAGAACGAAAAATCGAAATTGAATGGGTATCGGCCCATAACGTGCAACTGTATTTTGATACGTATCGAAGGGCAACAAAAAACAAATCAACTTTGGATGGACCCACGAGAACAATACACTGAATTTACATGCGTATTGGCCCGCATTTGGATTAGTATGGACCCAAAGAATCTGGTATGCATGAACCCAAACTGGTGTGTGTATGTGCTTGTTTACGTACATTTGTGTAAATATATGTAAATACCATCACTGTCGTAAATATGCTTCGTTTTTTACATCTAAAAACCAGAATCTTAAACTCAGATTCAATATGTATCATGGGCAACCGGTTGAGACGTCACGAACAAAGATGTTGATGTGCAGACTGCCAGACGGATGTTTAAGCATGTGCGAAGTCATTAGTGCCGTGTGGTTTATAAAGCTTTGAGGATCCAGCCATTATTCATAGTGTTTGGGGTTTGCCAGCCATCCTTCCTCTCGAAGAGGCTTAGGAGTCAATTTTTTGGGTTCGGGGATGATTTGGGCATCATGCAGCCCTGTCAAAAGCTATCCGTGGCATCCGCTTCTTTCAGCAGTTTGGATGTCGCACTCATCATCTCATATGTGAGTTTGACCCATGAACGGCTTTAGAAGATCTGACTTTCAGGGTTGTTCCATAATTTGGGGTTTCTGCAACCACGTTATCTTTAGGATTCAGCTGGGTTTTGCCATGCATCATGCTGTTTGGCTACTTCCTCCGGTTTTCCGACTTTGCTACTTCTCTTCGATCTGATGGCATTGGCCTTCTAATATTTCCTACGCTCAGAAGGTCTATGATGACTCTTTGTGTATTGCAAGCCTGTCGGTCTGAACAAATGATGCATGGAGGTGTTATGCATAAACACAACACTTATATGTCTCATGGGCAATATATGCATATATGGAGTATCCCGTAAACAATATGCTTTCATGAGTTTCTGTCTAATAATCTTGAGAGTACTGGTATAAATCTAAATGTTTACGCGCATCTTCCTTCATTTCTTTTTATGTTTATCATAGCGGTTTGTTGCAGGGCCAGAATATTGAAGATAGGTTTAAACGGCCCTAGGTGACTCCCCAGCCCAACCCTCCAGGCAGCCAGCCCTATGGCGCGAAGGCTCTAGGTGACCCGCAACCCCGCGAACCTTCCAAGCAGCCCCATAGCCTGGAGAGGGGAGGGGGGGCAAAAAAAAAATTAAAAATGTATATATATATATATATACATATATATATATCTTTTTTATTTCATGTTCAATTTTTTTTTTGGGGGGGGGGGTTGGTGGTGTGGCTTCTTTCTCCTAATATAGCACTCTAATTATTCACGTTATTGGTGCCATAGAAGCATGAACCTTGTCTTTTTATTATCAAAAAGATTTAACAAAAAGATCACAGACTCAAGGAGCTCAGTTAAACATCTTTTAACTAAAAAGAGATAACCTACGTGAACCACACAAAACCGGGCCTCCAAGGTGACGCTTTCTGTAAAAATAATGCAGGAAGGTGGCGGAGGTAACAGCTTGCGCACTCACGACCGTAACATAAACTTGCTCAATTCCTAACTCGAAAGTTTGATTAGCCCCTTTCTATTTAAAAGTCAATAAGGAATCCATTTTAGTGTTAGAACCAGTAAAATTCAAATTAGGCTTTTTATCGAAATTTATGCCACCAATAAATTTATCATTAGCTGTTTTTATAAATGTCAATAGAAAATCCATCATAAAACAGAGACATAACATTAACAGCACGACGTAAGAAATGCATCGATTCAGCTATACTTTCTATCGCTTGTTCAGGGAACTTTTTATTAGCGATCTGCATGTAATAAGAAATTGGTTTTGTGCTGTCGATTACACCTTCTAAATTATCAATTGAAGCCGCCATAGGATGCCAAAACCACGTCCATTTCTTCTTCGCATAATTTCCTGCTGTATTATTATCATTAATCTGTGAATTAGAAAGGGTAAAGAACATGTGTTATAATCTGGTTGAGGATTTAACAATATTCATATTGATTTCAATATTTCCTGGCTGGAAAGTTTGGGAAAAACTGTGATAGGCGGGATAAACCATTCTTAAACGGCCACCTCTTAGTAAATGTGACACCACGTTATTATTCACAGAATTATCAACAGTGATCAACTCACATCGGAGGATACAGTCTGTCGTTGTGTTTCTTGTGGTGAAATATAAACCGTTTTCATCGTCTGCAGCTTGTGTTCCTGCTACCGGTGTAGCTGGATTGATTACCGGTTCTTGTGCATCAGAGCAAATTTCAAAAATGAACTCTCATGGACAATATCGAATAGGCGGATAATATCCACTATTCACAAAACCGCAACATAGCTTCCTTCTATACCCGTAGTATTAATTCTGGTAAGTTTAGGGAGAACGACTCCTCTTTGGTTTGCTCCCGTGGTTGCTGTTGCGTCGTGTCCTTCAATTAAACAAGCAAATAGGCGGTTCATCCTGCTGTCGTATCGAGTTAAACAACCTTCCTGAATATCGTCTAAATTTCTTACTTCTTCTGATTTAAATGATTTCATGTTTTCACATACTAAATTGTAATTATCAATATCATTAATCTGTTGTCCTGCCCCATTGCATCTATAACGAGCAAAGAAGGCCAGGAGGGGTGCGGTGAGCACAGATAAAAGGGGCTTCGGACTCACCACGAGAGGCCTTATGAATACATGTTGAACGAGTCGAATGGGAGAGAGAGGGAGAGATGGTCCCCGAAGGGTATAAACGGATCCCCTTCAATGAGGACTGCCTCCAATGGAGACCACCACGGCGCCGTGACGGAAAGCCGTTATAACACACTGAGAAAGTGCTCGCGCACTCACGGATGTGATGTTACATTACGTGACTGCTGGCTGTTGCGATGTGAAGGTGTGCCTGGAGTTACTGTGTGAAAACAGGTTGCGGCAAAGGTGCATGTGGTCAAAGGCTGCGGCATGTTGCAACTGCTGACTGTGTGTTCAATGGACAACTGTGGCAACATGAAAACTCTGATCTTGGCACGGGGGCCCTCTAATCTTGCTGGCACAGGGGCCCAGCGTTTTGCAGGTACGTTTGCACCCCCACATCACCTGGTCTTCGTTGGCCAGGACAGGTGACTGTGGGTTCCTGCCCCCCTGCAGATATATTGCCAAGAACAACTCGGGAAAACGTGCCGCAGTCAGGAACCATGTTGCAATCAGGAGGGTTGTGAACCCCTTATCTCATGTACTAGAGAAGTGCACACACACACACACACGCACACGCACGCACACACACGCACATGCACAAGCGCACACGAGTCGCCGGTTTTTTGTGCCTCGGAGCCGCACTCGAAGAGGACTTGGCGCTGCAGGTCCACGGCCCCGACCAACATCTGCAAAGCGCGTCAGCCCGGGCGAAGTGCTGCTTCGCTCCTTCTCTCTCTGTGCTCAGTTTCTTTGTCTCTCCTCGCCTCCAGGAGCTCGCGGAATTCGGAAGGCTCCTCGCTTCCACTTCCAGCCTGAAGTGCAGAGCCGAGAGGCTGAGGCAACTTCCCCCAAATCCAAATTGCACTGCCTGGATCTTGCGAGGGACAACCGTCTCTTGAGCACCGATGGCCTGAGAGAAGTCACCGAAAAATCTCAGCACAAATCCTGCCGCTCCTGCCGCTCTGCGTCTGCTGCCTGCAACTGGAGCCGGAGCTGCTGAGCCTTCAAGCGAGCCTCCTGCACCTCCAAAGCGAGAGCGCAGCAGTCAAAAGCGAGCGAAAAGCGGAGAAGACGCAAAGAGAACGGCCAGGCCCCGGCAGGCCTTGTCTTTCAAAAGCTTCGCCTCCAGCTGCTTGTACTTGATCCGGGACTCCATCACCTCACTTATTGGCATCTTCAACCCACTATGTCAAACGTCAACGGCCCAGACCTCTCAACTCGGCGCCAGCTGGAGGAGTGCAACGGCCGCCAGGTCTTTTGCCTTAGGAGTAGAGGCCTCGCTGGACAGTTCCAATTAACACCGACTGCGTGTGCTGGGCTATGGATGTACTATGAGATCTCGCACTCTGCCATTTCATGCTTGCCGATGTCAAGCTGAAGCCGAACCCAGAACACCGAGATGGCAGCTCTTCAAGTCGAAGCAGAACAACTGCACTCATGGTCTCAAACGGGCCTATGCTGCAAACATGTGCGCAAGCCGGATTCCATGCATTTTGCAAACGGTCAAGGGCACATTGACAGAGGTCTCCATTCGTCAACATCTTCATGCCTCGTCGGCCTTACCCTCTGTCTTTGCCTTCTTCTGCACACCCCCGTAGAACTTGGCCTTCTCGTCACTGGTCTGGAAACGGCCGTGGCCGAACTTGGAAGATGTGTCGATAAACTTCAGGGTCACCTTTTCCAGGGCCTTGCGCGTGACCTGCGGCAGCAAGGATTTGCGCAGGGTGACCAAGCGCTTGCGAGGGCCCATGACTGTGCCCTTGAGCATGATCCAGTCCTCCCTTACTTCACCGTAGTGCGAGAATCCGCCCATTGGGGTGATGGGCTTCTCCGTGAGGTCGTTCTCAGTGCTGGCGTTGTTGGCATCGTCCTTCAGGGCCTTGCCCACACGATAGATTTTCTTGTTGATCTCGGTGCGATGGTGGTAGCCCCGCTGTCCCGACCTTGGCACCTGGAAAGCGACGCGGGCCGGGTGCCAACTGCCGATACATGCCACCTTGCGCAGCCCGCGGTGCGTCTTCCGTGTCAGCCGCGTCACACCCCAGCGTGTCACCACGCCGTTGAAGCCCTTACCCTTCGTCGCACCGATCACATCGACCATTTCGTCCTGGCTGAAGACGTCAGCCACCTTCACTTCCTTCTCAAACAGGCCCATCACGAAGTCCACCTTTGCATCCGTGGTGCCTCCATTCACCTGGATTTCCTTGATGTGCGCCTTCTTCTGGCCAATACGCACCTTGCCCACCTGCGTGTGGCAGATGGCCCGAATCACTTGGCAGTACTTCTTTGCTCGCTCAACCTCGGCAGCCATCGGAGTGCCATCCTTACCAGCCTCTTCCCAGCGCTTCTGGTACTTCGTGAAAGCTTTCTGCTTGGAAGTGTGCCACGTTTTGTAGAAGCGACGCTTGCACTCCTCGGACAGGTGTCCTGCCCACACGGAGGTCAACGCACGGAGGCCTCGGGGGGTCTCAACGTAACCCACGAAGCCAACCACAATCATGGGGGGGCTCTCGACGATGCTGACGGGCTCCACGATCTCCTTCTTGTGCAACTTGGACCCTGGCCGGTCAACTTCCCGCACGATGTGCGTCATGCCCGCCTTGTAGCTCATAAACGCTGTGAGGTGTGGGGCCTTGGACTGGTCGTCCTTCGGGAAGCTCTTGATCTTGCCGTGGTGGTGCCTCACAACAAGACAGGCTCCCTGCGTCCCTGCAAATTGGGCATGACATCTGCTGATGAGAAATGAGTTACATGGGCTATGTGCTATGCAGCAAGATGCCTCGTTCGCTTCCGGGGCAGAAAGCCCAGCGAGCCGTGACGGGGCCGCTCGAACTTGCGATGCGACATGAGCGCCGGACCTGCAAGCATTGCAAGCATCTGGCAGTATCGCAGTCACTGGCAATTCCACAGAAAGACACTTCATCTCGCCTGCTGCTCAAATGCCCGTTGCCGGTCTTGTGGCTCTTTAGAGCTGTCAAGGCAGCGGTAGACAGAGTCAAGTCAGAAACCCTCGCTCACAAGATCACAGTAAGCATGGTAGGTTTGCAAAGTGTTGTGTATTTGCACCGCTTGTTTTCAACCGCTGAAGCAGAAGCTCACTGACAGCGCCTGCACGGGTCAGAAGCCTCAGCTATCGCCTCAGCTCGCGGAGCCTGCCAGCACAGGCCCTGAGGGCAGAGGCGGCAGCCCGGCAGAGGAGCTGAGCACAGAGAACGCGTTCTCTAGAGAACGCGTCTTAGAGGAGGAACAAGCTCGGCAGTCTCAGGCGCCAAGGCGCCAAGGCGCCAGGCCGGTAAAAGAGATTCCGTTCTTCAGAGATCAGGGCTGTATCCCCTACGCCGGAGCTCCTACGCGAAAGGCTCCCGAACCGAGGCCGCCGCCGTTAGGGCCCCGCTAGAGCGGCGACTTCGCCGCGCCTTCGCCGCCGAGCCTCATGTCTAGAGGGGCCCCCCTCTTCTCAGCTGCTCCAGCTGAGCTCCAGCAGCTCAGTTTCTCAGGAGCCGTAACACCTCGGCCGGGAAAATCCTCAACAGAGTCTCACAGACCATGACGGACCCTGAAAGGAGGCACTAATAGATGTGGCCTCTGGAGCTTACATAAAGTACGACGCTTGGCGTTGCTGCTGTCTTGCTGCGCCGGTGCGCACAAGGGCCAGACCCTGAACAAGTGCTTGATCTGTCCAGCTTCGAGACACCAACGCAAGAAATGGAGCCTCTGACTTCACATTGCACTCCGGCCCCTTGCGGATCTTGCAGTCTTGCTCACTCTCTTGAAGCTCTGGGTTCTTGCCGTGTCACTGCTCAGGACGTGTCGCAAAGCGGCGACGGCAAAGACACCGGGCCGCCAGAAGCTCTGGAAGCCTGGACGGCCTGAACCTCAAAGTGCCCCACGTCGCCGTCGCGCTGTCGGGAGAGCTGGGAGAATGCGCATGCGTGAGGAGGCGGAAGCTCCAGGAGACTGAGCTGACTTCAGAGGCACTGAGCTTCAAGAGGCCTGACAGGCCGAGAAACCTTCCGTAAACCTCAACGCACTAAGTACGGGCGGTGGCGGCCGGGCAGCGGCGGCCGCCACTTCGGCATGCTTCTGCGCACGCTCCGCAGCGTCCGCAGCGTCCGCAGCGTCAGCGGAAGCGCCGTAGCTGAGGGCTCCAGGCGGTGGCAGCAAAATACATGTCCGGAGGAGAAGACTCCAAGGGGCACACCGTCACACCGCCGTCACGCCGGCCAGGAGCACAAGCGGCGAGCCTGGCGAGCCTGGCGAGCCTCGAGGCTCCGACTCCCTCTGAGCTCCAGCATCAGCGCAGGACCAGCAGCAGCGCCGCGGAACAGCCGCGGCAACCGCCCATCAGTCTCGGAGTCCTCGAGCTTCGTTGGACCTCAGCGATGGCCAAGAGTCCAAGAGCATTTCATGTAGCTTCTTAATGAGCCGACGTTGGTGTGTGTGCGTGTGTGTGTGTGTGTGTGTGCGTGTGTCGCCTCCGTGCGAGACTGCATACCGAGGTGCAGCTGTGACACATCGTGATGACCTGCATCCCCACGGCAGTCCTTTGAAATGTGCAGACAAAGTTCGGGTGAACCAGGCCAACCGCTTGTTCGAATTTTGTGCTCGTGCCTGCAAACACATGTGCACACGAGGCATCTTATTCCGTTGAAGGTCATTTTTGTGGTCCACCAAATGGTGGCCAGATTTCTTCACAGATGTGCCATTTTCACAACCACGTTGCATCAATGTATGTTTGGAGCTCTTTGCCGGCCTACAGATGCCAATCCACCTATGTCCTGCTGGCCATCAATCGGGACGCACTAGGCGACAAAGAGAGTTTCACTTCAACGCCTAGGAGTCGAAGAGCTCGATGGCATTCTGCACCGACGGTCACCCGTCACCTGTCTGGCGCGCGACGCTCAGAGGGCTCCTACAGCTCTCAGCGTCTCGCTTTGCCCTCTCGGCAAAGTGCCGCATCAACCGAAGACAAGCGCTGTTTTGGGCGCGGCAGAGCCCGCAGAGCCCGCAGCGCAGAATTCAGCAGGGAGGCGAATTCAGCTTGGAACCCAAAACAAGGCCGAGGTCAGGCCCCAGACAGTTCAGCTCAGAGACACGCGAAAAGGTCACTCGGCGCACGGGGCGGGTGCAGGACGGAAGGCCTTCGGTCCGCTCCGGAACCACAAAAAGGACCTTAGCATGGCCCACAGGCCAGTTGGGGAACAGCTCAGCTCAGCTCTCTCTCTGTGGCGGCCGCGGCCGCGGCGGCCGCGGCCGGCTTTCGCTCAGGGCCGCCTGGCAGGCGCGGGCGGGGCACCCGCAGAAGCGAGAGAAGGGCCGAGAAGGGCCACACTCTGAGCTTTTAATGGCACACCACTGGCTCATCGGCAACTTGGATCTTTCTTATTCGTGGCATCGAGAGCTCAACGAAATTGAGACGAGAAGGGGCAGACGTGAACCTGAGCGGGGCTGCCAGGATCCATTTCGGGAACACACGCATTTCCGGGACAGTCACAAAAGGCCAGCGAAACTCAGACTGCTCGGTCGCCACGGCGTCAGCAATGCTTTGTCACCTGACTTTGTCTGAGTTCGCCATGCACCTGTCGCAGCTCGCACCGGCACATGTGGCATGAGCTGACGGTTGCAGTAATTACTTCTCTTGCAGGCTGGCCATGTGAACTGACGCCTTCGGACTGTGGGGAGCTGTGCCTACTTACCTTTGCCTTGTGCAAGGAGCCGTTCAAAAGCCCTGGCATTCAAAGAGACACCGAGGACGCACAGGCCGCGCAGGCTGAGGAAAACCTCGGAGAGCATCGCCCGCGCCGCTCCCAGCGCCGCTCCCAGCAGAGGCAATGCGTCAGCAGTTCGTCACCAAACAGCGTCAGCAGTGCAGAAGGGGCAGCGGCGGCGACACGGGCGGCACCCGGGGCGGCACCCGGGGCACCGCAGCGACGCACGCTAGAGGATCGAGCCGCTCCGATGCAATGCATCCGTGGATACGATGGATACGGCTGATAGCACCACGAGAGCGAGGCTCTTTTCAAGTATCACCTCGAAATCAATTCGAGAACTTCTGCAGATCCTTTGGGCTCTGAGCAGCGAGGGCATCGGCACTCGCGGTCGCTCCGCTAGCACCTAAAAACCACCTGCTCCTGCCCTGGACACTGGAAGCTCGCGGCACTTCGCGGTCACGGACAGCGCAAGAGCTCTATGCGAAGCCTGGCCTGGGTCTCACTCCAGGCGGTAACAGCTCAGTCGCTTAGAGGAGCCATTGGAGGAGCCGGAAAGGGCACAGAGCAGCAAGCGGAGCAAGCGGAGCAAGCGGAGCGAGCGCCGAGGAGCAAAGCGCCCCCGCCAGGACCGGAAAAACCCGGCTTGGGCCTGGGGCTGGGCTTGGGCCTGGGGGACATCAAGCTGAGGTCTTCTACCACCCATGTCGAGCAGCCGACCGTCTAGGTGCGGAGGCAAAAAAGCGACAACCCGCCCCCGCTAGCCCGTAACTCGGATCCGTTGGGCCTGTCTCGCCCGTCTCAAAATCCAAATGCCCCACCTGGAAGCAACCGGTCAACCTGGAAGCAGGCTCTAGCCGCGGCATGCCGCGGCGCCGATCATTGCCTCATCTGACGCCTCACCGCCGACTAGGCCGTCTGGGCATCCGACCAAAACCGACACCAGGCCAGGCCCGCGAGGCAGGCTAGGCATCGCCGTGGTCGTGGCCATGGCCCAGGAGCGGAAAGCGAAAGCTCAGGGCAAGCTTCCTAAAGCCTAACCTGCGGTTCTTTCGCTCAGGGCCGCGACGGTCCGTCCTTTCAACTGTCGCAATGCTTGCAAAACACAGCTGGTACAGCGACGATCTTCATAAACTTGCGCAAGATCGGCACGTAGTCGGAGCTCTCTCCCGCTTTTGTTTTAGGTGCTGTAAGGTCGGCCGGATCGACAGAGCCCAACAACCTCCAAGGACTCTTCGCTTCAGACCGTCCTGAACCCTGCTCGACACAAGATTGTGAGGGACTCTACGCAGTGGAAGCTAGCCCCAAACCAACAGTGATGGCACCTGGTTCTTCGAGAGACCTGGTGAGCGCACCATAACGTGAAAACGGCGATATTGGCCGTGTGGGCCGAGTGCACGGAGCCCGCGGCTTGCGCACAGCCCAATGCAAGCGCAGTCATGGCAAGCATGGCAAGCATACCATGACAGAGTGCAGGAAGTGCAGGAAGTGCAGCTTGGCAGGCCTAAGCCTGGCATGCCCACAAAGGGGTGCCTGCCACGAAGACGGCAGCTCTCCTCGCAATCGCGACTAAGATGCCAAGAGGCGAAGGCGCCTGGGGCCCAGATGCAAGCGATAGCGGAAGCAAAGCTTCCCTCCGGTCCCTCCGCTCCGTGTGGAAATGGTTATGGCCATGGCAGTACAAAAGGGATGTGGGGCCAGGGCAGTTCCTCTGTGAACAAGGAGAGCAAATTCACACTGCGCCCAAAACAAGAAACGGGTCCTCGAGGCCGAGGCCGCAAGCGGAATCCGGAATCGGCCCGAAAGCGGCTCCGGCTCCTTCTTCGGCTTCTGCGATCGCTTCTCCTCGCTCTCCTCGCTCTGCTCGCTCCTCTCACAGCGCTGTGAGAGGCAGCGAGCGCTGACAAAAGCCTGCTCTCATTCTGCCCCGCCCTTCCACTCCAGAGCACCCGCTGCGGCGACGCTCGCTTTCACGGCCCTTGTGGCGCGCTCTGGCGCCTGCGCAGCTTCAATGTTTCCTCGCCCCAAAGCCTAAAACCTACAGCCCTCCCCTCCCACTCTCCTGGACTCCAGCTGCCTGCACCTGCCGAAGAGAGTCCTTTGCACTATGCTGCTGCTCGTTGGCCCTTTGGCTGCGCT